AACTTAAGACAGACAGGCAGATAAAGGTTGGCTGATGGTTGCCAGGAAAGGACATAGGGTTGCCAACTCCAGGTTGGAAACTTCCAGGATATTTTAGGGATGAAGCCTGTTGAGGGTGGGGTCTGAGGAGGAGGAGGAAGAGGGGGACCTCAGACAGATACAATGCCATACTGCCCACACTCCAGACAAGCTGTTGCCAGTCTCCAGGTGACAGCTGGAGAGATCTTAAAGCTTTGGTGGTAATTCAAAGTGCTGCAATTTATCAACAGAGTAGTGTTTTGGAAAATCTTTAGGAATTGTTTGGTGCATTTAGGGAGAATAAAACTTTTGATCAGGGCCATTCTATCCATCCATGTGAAAAACTTAGTATCCCAATATTGAAAGAGGTCTTGGATATCCCTATATACCTCTTGATGGTTAATTTTTATGAGGTCTGTCAGATTAATTAGTATTTTAACGCCTAATGTCAGCCAATGATCTTTGGTCCATTGATAATCAAATTTGCCTTTAATATAATGCCTTTCTTGACTGGAAATACTGATTGGATATAATACGGACTTCTTTGGATTAGCTTTTAGCTCTGACACTTGACCAAATTCTTGCAGGATTGACTGAATTACTGGTAATGACTTTCTGGGGTTTGTTGTAAAAATAACTAAGTCATCGGCAGAAAGACTAATTTTGTACTCTTTGTTGTTAATGTTAATTCCTTGATATCCTTTTTCAGAACGCAGATGGCATGCCAAGGGCTCCATGGCCAGTGCAAATAGCAGGGGCGACATAGGACAACCTTGCCTGGTACCTCTTTGAAGATTTATCAATTTGGAAGCAGATCCATTAATTTGCAAGGTTCCATGCGGGGCTTCATATAACTTCCGGAGTGCATTGCTGAATGTCAGCCCAAATTGAAGGTGAGAGAGTAGATTGCTTAAATATGAGGTTTCCAACGTATCAAAAGCCTTCTCTATATCTATAGATAGAAGAACTGAGTCTTTTTCTGGATGGAGCCTTCCATAATGAATTAAGTTCAGTGTCTTACAGACATTATCCATAATATCCCGGTTGGGAATGAATCCCGTCTGGTCCTGATGTATGTACCAGGGGATGATATGTTTTAGTCTAGCTGTTAAGACATGCATAAAGATCTTATAGTCCACGTTCAGGAGAGAAATTGGCCGGTACGCCTTAGGATCAGTTGTATCTTTGTGTTTTTTGGGAATAAGAATTACATTCGCATCCCTCCATGTTCTGGGGATTTCTTCTCCCTTTAGAATGCTATTAAAAAGATTCGTCATTGGTTTAACAATTTGAACTGTCAACGCTTTATAATACTCCGTTTTTTTTTTAAGCTTTTATTTTTGAAAGGTTTTTCATAACATTTCATGCTTCATCATGTTAGATTACACAAATTTTTAGAGTTGACAGTTTATATTTCCGTCTTAATGCATTATAAAAACCACTATACATCCTTGTCAGTCCCTTTGACGATCTAACCATTCATAAACCCTAAACCACCTTTGTTCTTGACATTTTTGGTCTTTATCTTGTAATATTAGACTCAAATTGTCCATTTGCGCTAACTCCATGAGTTTAATAGATAAGTCCTCTTTTGTGGGTACTTTATCTGTCTTCCAGTTTCTTGCCTTATCTCTACCGTATCTATCTTGTAGAAGGGTGCGCTCCCACCATGTCAGTATGATTTGATGTTCCTTTCGTAGTTTCTCTTCTGTTTTTAATATGTTATTCTTTTCTAATAATGTATTGTAACTAACCATTTTCTCTTTTACCAAAAGCGATGGCATTACAAAGGCCTCCAACGGGCCTACCCATCTAGCAGTTTTCATGTAAAATCTTTCTTTTATCTCATTCCAACCTTGTTTAAAGCTCTTCTTAATACATGACGGTTAAATATGAAATGCAACTTATCCTTATCATACCAAATGTAGGAGTGCCACCCCATATATAGGTCATGGCCTTCCAATGACAATGTTCTGCTGTCTTCCAAAGTTATCCATTCCTTAACCCACACTAGCGTCGCCGCCTGATAATATAATTTCCAATTCGGTACATTCATTCCTCCTCTTTCTTTTCTATCTTGTAACACCTTCCACTTTATTCTAGCTTTTTTAGGATGCCAAATAAACTTTCTGGTCACTTTGTGTAGTTCCGTCAGGAATTTCAAGTTTTTTAACACGGGGATGTTTTTTGCTAGAAATAGAAATCTAGGAAGTATATTCATCTTTAACGTCGCTATTTTACCCATCATTGATAGTGGTATATCTTTCCATTTTGACAAATCGTTTCTTATCTCTTCAAGTAGTTTATCGTAATTATCTTCAACTAAAGAACTTGCTTTATTGGATACATTAATTCCTAAATATTTTACTTTTTTCACTACTTCCATTGATGTTACTCTTTGAATTTCTTGTATTATATTTGGTTGACAGTTCTTTGTTAAGAGTTTAGTCTTTTTCAAATTGATCTTAAGCCCAGCTACTAGACCATATGCTGTGATTTCTTCCAATAGTAAGGAAATGGTTCTAGTTGGGTTTTCCACTATAAATAATAGGTCATCAGCAAATGCCAATACTTTAAATTCTTCCCCTTTTACCTTTAAACCATTTATCTGTCCATTATTTCTTATGGAATTATTCAACACTTCCAGAGCATATATAAACAGTAGTGGGGATAGGGGGCATCCCTGTCTAGAACCTTTTTGCACAGCTATATCTCGTGTTAAATCACCATTAACTATCACTTTAGCATATTGTGTTGAGTATCTTGCCTTTAAAGGTAAAGGTAAAGGTTCCCTTGCTTGAAAGCCAGTCGAATCCGACTCTAGGGTTGCGGTGCTCATCTCCGTTTCAAAGCCGAAGAGCCAGCGCTGTCCGAAGACGTTTCCGTGGTCATGTGGCCGGCATGACTAAACACCAAGGCGCACAGAACGCTGTTACCTTCCCACCGAAGTGGTCCGTATTTATCTACTTGCAATTTCTTGCTTTCGAACTGCTAGGTTGGCAGGAGCTGGAACTAGAGACGGGAGCTCACTCCATCAT